ATTATTATTATTATTATTATTATTATTATTATTATTACATATCACATTATGAAAGCTTTGAGACATTGCAGCAATAGTTGACCATGTTGGGTTCAATCAAAAGGCTCATATAGAAAACCATGCCTCTGTCTGCACAGATGTTAGTAAGAAACTAAAGACTTACAGGGTAAGTTACATTAAATAAATGTGTTGGAGCCAAATGATGTGTCTGCTGTCTCCAAGCAAGCCGTCCAGTCTGCGGGGGGCTTGTTGTTTGATGTTTTATTTGCCTAAGAGCAGCAGCTGCTGTGTATTCAGAGGGAGGTGAACAGAGAGGACACTGGTCACTCATTCGCCAGACAACCAACTCTCTTCTGCCAGGACTGGAGAACAAACTGGGACTCTGTCTGAAGTTTGGTCAGGGTGGCCTCATTTGAAAAGACAGGAAAAGGAGCAAGACTGACAGGTAAAACTGGAGCTAAACAAATAAATCCCAGCGGACTGAAGCTGACACAAGCCATAACGCTTCGACACCTCTGACTGTTGAGGAGGAGAAACATGTTTTGGCAGACTTAATTAACCAAACGCCTCTTGGAACTTAGAATATTTAGAAGACCTCAGGATGAAATAAGCTGCTCAACCCCTAAGATCCCAGATATTTAAGGTATTACTAGAAGTAATCAGCAAGCACAGACTGAATGGTTTAGTTTCTTGGAGAAAATGCTATCGTACTAAATGTAGTGGGTGTAAATGAATGACAAGCAGTTAAACAGTTTTTTATCTGAAAATATTAAATGTATTTGCATGAATTGATGTGTTCAGTGTCTGGTTTAATCCAGTTTTGATATTTTATTATCTGCATAAACACTCTAAATATAAATATCATATTTGGTCAGTTTGAAGAATTTGATGTATGGACATTCGTTGACATTTTAGTCAACGAAATGCTTCAATTTACAAAGTGGAGGGGAAATTATGATTGAAAACAAAAACATGGGTTCACAACTGATATTGTCAGCGCAATTATAGTCAACTGTGTCACAACTGTTCATTTTCCTGATATCCTGCAGTCCTAATCTGGTCCCGCCACATAAAATGATGTAAATTAGTTGAATTATCAGAAGACTGAACAGGGTGTGCTGGCAGTTCAGCCACTTTAAGCATTCAAATGGCAACATGACCTGATGGGTTTCAGTACAGAGTGTTTGCATAACTTTGTGTTACGATTAAGACACTTTATCAAGTCATTACTACAACTTTTCTCTTTATTTGGAAACATTTTATAGTAGTTTGTGAATGTGTGAAGGACATGTGGTATCTAAGCTGCAATGATTTTCTTTCTTTAACAAATTAGAAACTTTTTTAGTATTGAATAGCTACATAACTCTTGCTTGCTAAAACAGAGGGAGAAAAGCAGTCTGAATTATTATTATTATTATTATTATATATTTTTTCCTAATTTCCAGCTCCTGATTCTTTGATCAACAGATGAGAGGCTGACAGCTCATTGCAGGCTGCTGCCCTGAACCCACCACCACCCCTCACCCCCAGCACGCCCCACCAGTTTAAAGAGGAGGAGTGTCCCTCTGCAGTCAATACAAACTCTGTTAACAGCAACCGCAATACCACAGTAAACTCTGAAGGTCGAGGCCGTTTATAACTGGAGACGAAGGCACACAGCGAGGCAAAGCGAACTCGCCGTATCCACACCGCACTGACAAGCCTCCATGATGGTTGACGACACACAGCAGGAGACGCAGCTCCGTTTCTGTTGCTGTAAACTGAGGGATGGCGTCACCAAACCCGCTGGAATCGACTGCAAAGTCAACATGCAGCAGGCAGTTCCGGAGCAGGAGGGAAAAACGGGGGGGGGGGGGGAAAAACCCCCCTACGCGCTGCTCTCATTTTCACAGCAACAAGTAAAACCACACCATCACAGGCCTGGCTGCAGGAAAACACAAATATTTACTGCAAGGCATAAACATAGCACAGGTTTCTGAATGGTAGCAAAGTAAAAGACTTGCATATAATTCATGTCCAGGCTATTCCTCTACAGTGTTTCACATTTCAAACCTACAGAGATATCTACAAAAAAAGTAATGATCAGAGGAGCAATAAATCTGGAGAAGATGCACAGCTCAGGCTCAAGGAAAGATTCAGAAGCTTTCCTTCTGAATCTGTCAGAAGGAAAGCTTTAGTTTGCACTCCACATATATGGTATTTATAAAAAGAAAAGATTGACAAGAAAAAAGTTATTGTTGAAAGAAAGCTATAAGGAAGAGAGTAAACACATGTGGGAAGAAACTCTGATCAGATTAACCTAAAATTGATCATTTGGCCCAATATACATCACCTCAAACACACTATTCCTATGGAGAAACAAGGTGGTGGCCGCATCATGCTGAGGGGATGGAACAGGGACATTCTCAGACTTAGATGGAGTTATACCATAGAATACCGTTTCATTAAACAAGCCTCTTTAACATTCAATATTGTCCAACCTGATGCCTGAAATTTTCAATTTGACAACAAAAACAACACAGTTCTATAAAAGGTGTGCTAAGGAATAGCTTTTAATTAGCTCTGTGCTGAATGATTAGTGAGGCTGTGCAGTATGATTAGAGCCGTTCCTGGACCGGTACACTGAGACTCATTTAGGACTGGATTAATTCTAATCCCACAAGGAAAGTCTTGCAGGACAGAGTCTTTTTTTTTTTTTTTAACCATGCATGATGTTATCCGAGCGCCAGGAGTTAGCTGGATGCTACACAATCAGGCTAAAGGAGTTTATCAGCTACTAATCATTACTGCTGCTAAAGCTGGTTGGTGCAAAATTCTCATAACACAGAAGAGTATAGAAAATATACAGTTTCAAAAGGTTTCGGGTCTCGGTTGCTGTGGTTTTGGTTCTTTGTGGAGGAAAACTGTCAGTGTGTTCATTTCAAGCCTTCAAACTGTCGCTGGGAGAAACAAGAGCCCAAGAATGAGCCAGACTATTCACACTGCTTTTGTGTTCGTACAACTGTAATGGCTGTTGCGTACCACAGAGAAGCGTTATAATTAAAGGCTCAGATGAAGATGTGCCAAATAGTTCAAACTACCATGTTGCCACATCACAGAGAACAAAAAGTCGGAAGTCAAGAAAAAAAAAAAAGAAAAAGAAAAGGACACTGGGAGATGGGAAGCCGTGTGCTGGCTGTCATCATCCTGTCGTCGCTAACGGGTGGGAGAGTAAAGAGGAGGCAAAGAAAGTGAAGGAGAAGTGCAATGATTCATGTCTGAGGTTATTCGGAAACTCTTGGGGTCAAGAATCTGTCCCTGCTCATGAACAAAAAAACTCCAAAGATCACAGATCATTGTGTGAACTCGGTGTTAAGTAAGAGGATATCATTCCTCTGAGGAATGTCAGTGTTGAATTCCTTCTGTCTAATGTCTGTCTGAGCTGAACTAATGAGGGACACTGATATGGGAGGATATGATTAGACGGGGATTGACTCCTGTCCGCTCCGATAAAAAAGAGCATAAGAATAAGACAGTTTGTCTCTTTATGTAATATCTGATGAGCTTTACACTTTAAGCAAAAACAATGAAAAGGCTTAAAGATTTAAACTTAAATGAAAGTTGTCTTTAAAATTTACAGTTAAACATAAAATATTTAATATTGTTAGCTTTTATTATGTAGAGCAAAAAAAAAAAATCCTTGATTAGGATCGTTGTCAGCGTTGGCTATAATCAGTGCAAACCGCAAAAGTCTGCTGAATGATTGATGGAGACAAAACGTAATTGGCCCCAAGCACCATCTCAATAAAATAAATGAAAAAGCATGAATGACTAAGTCTGCACAAAGAAAGAAGCAATAAAGAGGTTTTTTTGGGGGTTTTACCTGTGGGTCTGCTGGAGGAGGGCCCCCCCTCCTCTGGAGGTTTGCACGCGAGCATCTGTCTGTGCAGATGTAGCGCCTCCGTGGAATGTGCAGCATTCCCCGAGCTCAAGTCTCCTGTACCGCATCCGGGACCTTCCATGACCGCCTCCGGCCCGCTGGAACCCTCCGAGGTCCAGCCGACCTGAGCCACGTCCGCTCCCCTGCCAGGTCGCCTCTGCGCTCCGCCCTGCGGTGGGACGACCAGCCGAATGCAGGGCCGACGAGACGTCTCCGGTTCATCGTCCTCTGGGATTGGGTTGTACCAAATCTCCCCCTCGTCATCTGCGTCATTCTCTTCCGACGGGTCCACGCTCCGGGGATGAGGAGACACCTTACATTGACCAACCACCACCTGAAAACAAGACAAATAGAGTTTCAAACCATTGTTGTTTTAAAGTCTTACCCTCTTTACATCTAACTTTAACACTGACTTGTCTGCTGTGTTCCTTAATCTTTGTGATTCTGCTTTTGTTTCTAATTTGTGGTTAAATTTTCTCTAAATGGAACCCACACTTTTCTCCTTATCATTACTATTTGTAAAAAATGTCTTGACAACCATGTATTATTTTCCTTCCTCTTCACATCTGTGTTTTCTATCTGTCATATAAAATCATGATAAACTACATTAAAGCTTGATTATAACTGGAGGTGTTCCAATCTGATACTAATATCGGAAATCGATCCGATATCAGCCAATAGATGAGCATCAGATTTTATGAGCTTGCATCTAAAATTGTTGGATATCAGCATGTTGTCATGCCTGTTGTTGTTGACTGCTGGTCTCTGTTTGAGTAATGTATCACCTTTCTAACATTCCACACCACAAACTATGTAATAAAAGAATGAATGATGCATACTGATATGGTATTAGGTCAATATTGGTATCGTATCAGGAGTGAAAAAGTAGCATAAGGACACCCCTAGTTGTAACATGGTAAAAAGACTCACCCTGTCATAGACGTTTCTGCTTTTTCACCAATGCTAAGCTAACACAGTCACCTTAATCTCATACATCTGTGGAGGATCTAACCTGAGGGATCTGTGGGCGTACTGGCCGTGGCAGCGCTCCACCTGTGGATCTCACAAATTCAGGCGAGGGGCTGGGAGCAGGAGGAAGCTGACAGCTCTCCTCAGCTCCCAGCATGCCTTGCAGCTCATCCTTGGTGCAGTGACTCTTTGGCTGGGAGCTCTGCTGCAGCCAGTTGCGCTTTTTGGACACGGTAATGGTGGTGGTGAGCTGTGGGCTCCATGATGAAGGCTCGTTGGTCAGTCTGCTGGCCTCTCTGCCGTTAGCACATGGGGTTTGGAAATTCTCAATGAAAGCTGAGAAAGTGGAGGACACAAAGGCAGACCGTGAGAGAGACTGCAGCAGGCCGGAAAATGAAATGAAAAAGTTATTTCCTGGGTTAAAAAACGGAACTAATAATCATCTTGATTAGTATAATTTCAGTAATTACTGATGTGAACTGAATTAGAGAAGTGGATGTTTCATCTGAAACTATTCAAGTCACAACAGGCTGAAGAAAACATTTACATCAACAAACCACAAGTGTGAAAATATTTAGTAATGCCAGGTGGTTTAAATATTTCTTTGCTAATTTTTTCTCTGTTTTTTCGTGGATTCAAAGACAGATGGACTATCATAATTTCCCTCAATGCCCTCCAGCATTATTTCCAGAAACTACCCTCTTCAGGGTTAACTTTGGGAATCTGTGAACTCACACTTCCAAGAGGAAATAGAGGGATTTTGCACGCATACCTTCTGCTGTAGCAGATCAGAAAAAAGTATGCAAGAAAGAGCCAACATTTCATAAAGGAGTAGCAGGAGGAGACTGGTAAAAGGTGAAGACATGTTAAAAAAAATAAACGAAACATTCTGGTAATACAGATGTGACCTGCATTAGCACTTCATGCTTCGAGGGACTGGAGAAAACAGTTCCCGCTAGGAGGAGATTTCCAATCAGATACTAAGATGCAAGAATTTATCACAGATGCAAGCACAGAGAAGAAAAAAAAAACACACAACCATGCACAAGAGTGTGACAAGTAAAGCACAGTGCAGAAGGAGGCCAGCATCCTGCTCTAACTTGTAGAGCAGGCTCATATAAAATACTGTTTTGATCTCCTCCAGCTCTCCTTCGAGCCCCTCCAACATGCTCTAATGCCAACTTCTCCAGAAAATTCTTTTTTCATGCATGCCTGAGTAGCAGAGCAAATTAGAAACCTGGGGATATTTTTACTTTCTTTTAGAAAATTCGACATTCTATGCAGAAGATCTAGCATAAAATATAGTTGTAATAGTGCCAATGAAGAGTGAGTTCTCAGGTACGTCAGAATGTATAAAAAGCAAAAAAGATGCTGAACTGTAAAAACCATCTATTCATGTGAGTGGGTCTCAGTGCTGCATTTAACACAGTTGATCATAACATGTTGATCAATACACTGGAAAAGTTGGTTAAAATGTTCTTGGCAGATCAGTTATCCGTTATAAGTGCGAACAAACAACAACCGTGAGGGAATTCCTCCAGGCTCTCTTCTCGGGCAAGCAGAATTCAATATCTACACATTTAGTCCAACTCCAACTATGGAGTTTTACATTTCCTACAACTATAAGCCAATAACACAACTTTATGTTTCTGTGTGATCACACAACCACAGTTTGCTACAGTCACCAAGTCCTGGTGTCCATAATACCAATGGGTTGTTGTGACATCAACTGTGTCTGAGCTATTTATTTGTTTTCAATGTTCCTTCTAGCATTTCATTCTTTTATATTAAAATTTTACTGTTATTCTCATACTATATTTATTGTGTGTAATGGGATTTTTTCTTCATTTCCTTGTAAAACACTTTGTCTTCTTTCTGAAAGGCGCAGCACAAATAAACTTGCCATGCCTTTCCTAGAGTCCACAGGCCTATCCTAGCAGTTTTCCAGAGATCTACAGCTTTATAAAGCAACTATTGTCCCGTAAACATACACACCGAAATTTATTACACCGCAACAAAAGAAGGGGTTAATCTTTCCTGAGCTACAGCTAGAACATTATGTGGGAATGGACTAATCTAAGTTGGGGATTAAACTCTCTTACGCTCCACCTTGTTGTAAACATTCCAGTTAATTTGATTTCTGAATCAGCTTTGTTTGCACAGTAAAATCCTAATCTTGAACGAGTAACAACAACATTTCTTGTTTTTCATTTGATGTCTTACACAAGCAGAACCTTCTTTTTGCTTCATTTACAGAGGACTTGCATTCAGAATCACATTTGTATTGTGTGTTTGCAAAATCTCGATTAGAGATTTTTGAGGACCTGCAGTTGAGTAATATTAGAGGTTTTGTAAAAGGAGAAGCCAGGATTTTATTTCTGCTGGTTCGCTGAGTTCCATGCGTGACTGTGTGGGCTTGAACTGCCAGGCTGCACTCATCTGTGATGCTATGATTTCATCTGCTCCAGTCTGGCTGCGTTTCAGGTAGCCTTTCAATTTTTATTGAAAATTCATCAGGTTAGAATGTACTGTAGCAGGAAACGGGGGATTGTACTGCAGTGCACCATTAACTGTGTTTTGTAAGGAAAAATACACTAAAAACTTTAACCTTTTTACCTAAAACTGATCATTTGCAACAATGAACTCAATTTCTTACCAGGGAAACTAGAATTTAAAGACGTTTTGGTTTCAGGATGGACAAAGACCCATAAACAACAAACAAAGCTAAAAAGCAACCTTAAATATAGAAATCAAGTCACTTTTAATTTATTTCTACAAAACAAAATATTTTTATTTGAAAAAAAAAGGAGCAATTAGAACCAAAACCTCTCCAGAACTACTGACCCTGATGCCGAGACTACACACGGTGCTTTTGTCGACAAGCTGTCTTCTTCAAGGGGTCTTTCATAACTAGAAAAGGAAGCATGTTCCGACATGAACGGCATTCCAGACCACGGCTGGAGATTTAAATCTTTGCTGCCGTCTCCTTTCACCATCACACTCCTTTACAGCAGCAGCAGCTTCCAAAACAAACAACGAGCCGGACAAGTTGGACCCAATTTGTAAAATTTTGGCCTCTTTTAACTGCTGTCAGATGTTAGACAATTTATAGGCCTCGTTCACCTCTCAGTCTGTTATTTAGCCTGATAAAAGCAGACAAAGGATTGCTAAGAATTTAGGGATTTTGCCCTAAAAAACATCAAGATATATTGTGATTATATAATTGAAAAGTTTATAAGAACGCTGAAATAAACTAAGATATTCTAAGAGGCAACATAAGGACAAAATGAAATAGTAAAAAGGAATAATTATGATTAGCAAAGGTGAGATGAAAGCTAAGTTTGTTAGCTGGTTAATAAGTTTTCAAGGAAAATATTGTAAATGTAAAATTTCATCCTTCAAGTTAAGGCAGGAAGCAGGTTTAATTCCCTCTGAAAGGCATTTTATTATTCAAAATAAAGCATCTAAGATGCATAAATAAAATACATAAATTCTCTATTTAGAAGAAGGACAGTTTTAGGAAAAGGTCCAACCACAAAACCAATCCAACAAAAACACTTATGGAAAATGTAGTATTATATCTTTCATATACATTGAAAACTGTCAAGGCCCCTTTCAGCTTCTTTGTAGCCTAAATTATCTTGTGATCACTGCAGAGAGAACTGATGGACCCCTGACCTGAAGGTAACAGATGGCCAAAGCCAATAATACAGGACTGTGTCTTTGTGACAAGAAAGAAAGAAAGAGAGAAAGAAAGAGAGAAAGAAAGAAAGAAAGAAAGAAAGAAAGAAAGAAAGAAAGAAAGAAAGAAAGAAAGAAAGAAAGAAGTGGTGCACAGATGGGGAGGAGTGTTATGGTTTGCAAAGTTACCAAGGAAAAATCTGTTAGCGCCGAAGCAGATCTGCGCCGTGTGAGCCACAGAGTAAACCCACTTACATTCATCTCTAAACCTTATGAGTGGCTGGATCTTTTACTCCACAAAGACAAAGCACTTGATCCACTTTCCCATAGGCTTTTAATTTCTTTCCTGATTTTCCTTTTCGTCATAGAGGCTTCTCTTTTGATAGGAGCAAACACACAGCAGCTCATTTTCTCCTCCCTACAGACACAACTTTGTTGTGTATACGGGGTTTGTAAGCTCCCTTTAGAGCGAATCTTTTGCTGGGTGCCATGCATTCCTGTTGACATTCATTCATATGTTAATGAGGATTGTCAGTGTAGATTTTTCTTTTTACACAAGGACAGAGCTAAGATCGCTCAGGGTTACATCACATGTCAACACTTGCATCCCACTGACACGTACTGCCAGTGCTGTCCTCAATATGTTGGCTGAAGAGCCAAGTTTTTTCCTCTGTGTTGCAGTTCTCTCAGAGTTTCTTTTTTGGGGTTTTATTGTGCTGGTTAAAATTTAAGTTTGAGGACACAGAAATGGCTTAATTAGCACAAAAACTGAAATAACAATAACAGCCCTTTTAAAAGGAGCTCTGAAGTCCCTTAAAAGCTAATAAAAACTAGTGCTCTCCCCACTCCTTGCAGCAGACGCCATCATGACTCAAACATCTCATAAAACCATCCCGGTACGATCCCTGATGCCTTAAGTTTCTTCCAGCTGATATCTGCAACATCAATAAATCTGTCAAGGCTATAAGACAAGACAATCTTTGTACCGCCACCCTCAGTTGTGTCATGTGTTTCTGAAGACACTTTCTCAAAACACAACAAATTTATATAAGGGTACGTGTGTCTAGCATACACATACGTAACTGTATAATGTTGATGAACATGGCCAGCATGAAGCCTTGCCATTTCATTATCACCAGCCTGATCCGGTTATGTAAGGCAGGATTGATCTATGATTTTCTGATCATCGAATGTCGCCATAGAGATGGAGACTCATCGGACCGTGAAGCTTTTTTCAGTAGAAAGTCCAGTTTTAAGCTTCAATTTTGGTCTAGTCCTCTGCTGCTGCAGCTCATCTGTCTGAAGGTTCAACATATTGTGAGTTTAAAGATGGAGTTCTGCATAGTGTGGTTGTAAGGTGGGGTTATTTGAGCTCCTGTTGATTTATTAGGCTCTCCAGTTCGTCTGCAAACACTCTTTGAACCTCTGAAATCAACAAGCTGATTTAGGGATCATTTTCTTTAAACCTTATAAATAGTTGTGTTTTAAAATCTCAACGTTAAGCTCACTGAAGTGCTTTTTAATTTAAGAAAGTCGTTTTCATCACATCCAGATGGCTAAATTTGTTGAGCTGTTGTCATGTGACTTGCTGATTTACTGTGTTCAATTGTTTGAACTGGTGTACCCAATAAACAGAAGAATCACTGTTTGTAACACACACAGAGCCCAAGGACCAGCAAATAGTGATGGATTTAGGAAATTCAGCAAAAACAAATTAAACTCCTTGTTTTCAAAAGATTAGGTAAAAGGTTTGGAAATATTTGGTTTTGCTTGATAGAATTTATTGTTTTAACTTTAATCTTATGCCTTTGTCATAAATCTAAAGATTCACAAGTTAAGCTAGCTTAGCGCAACTTAGTAAAATGAGCTGGGAGGTTGGAGGAAAAAAGGAATTTGGTAAATCAAACAAACTTTTTTGACCTCAACTAATGAAACCTATAAATAAAGACATTACATTTCATAAAATGTATATTTTGAAGCAGATGCAACTTGGTAAAAAAATCAGCAAATATTTTGGGAAGTTGCTGGTACAGACCAGGTCAAAACACTTAAAGATCTGCTTACATAATCAAAAATATGAAATGATAAAACTTCTGTTTTCTGGGAGGTCTTGTGTGTAAATGGTAGCACTTCAAGATAACGATACATATGTTTTGAGCAGCTGAAACAAAATCTGTTTTTTTTTTTTCCATTTCCAGTTTTTGCCCTAACAGGTTGGCTACTCTGACATATTTACCACTTAATTTAAAAAGTAGTAAATATGTCTACTAAATTAAGTTAAACTACTTTAAAGACAGCATACAGCACTAATACTGTTCTTTTCTTTATACTTTTTGAAAGAAAGTCTGTACATCTTCAAAATATTCCAGTCATAAACTGGCATAGAAACATCACCGCCAAATTCTTTTGAGACTTAACACGATATTTACCAAATGCATGACTCATGACCTAATGCCAGGTGAAAACAGGACACCTGGATCATGCCCACCTGCCAGCTTGCCTTCTCTGACACACCAAAACAAAATAAATATTTTGACTTCATATACAAACACGAACAAACAAAAGCAAAGAGGTGCGTAGGCAGGCTTATGTTCACAAAAGATATTATACATAAAGCTGTGTATGTTTAGAAACAGTGCTGAATGGAAAAGTTGGAGCAAAAAATGTTATGAAGTCAAACTAGGAGATTTGACTTACTAACTTTACACTAAAGTTTGAGATCCAAAGACATCTAAGGGCATTTTCAAACAACTCAAACAAGAGCTTTAAGTGAGTATTGAATAACTTTAGATTTTTTGTAAGGTGTGAAGAGCTTCCCAAGATAAGCCAAGCAATGACCTCAATAAATACTTAATCACCCTTCATTTTGTTCAGTCATGGTGAGGAATTAGGTGACACAACTCAAACTAGCTAAAAAAACAAGAATGGCATTTCAAAAATTCAACTCAAAGTCTCTTTAAAATGCAAACTACCATTGGGCTGTCAAGAGCAAATGACTGGGGAGGAAAGCGACATGACAGCACAACCCCCTCTTCTCTCAAACAAATCACACACCACGAGCGCAGCAGAAAAATACTGCAGTGGCTTCTCTCCCGCCTTGGATTCCTCTGGCCACAGCTGTGGAAAAGCTCAGCAGAGACGGGGAGAAGAGAGAATGTGGAAGAAAATAAATGAGGAAAAAATGAGAGTAAGAACCGTGTGGTTCATGGAAACTAATAAATACCAAGTTCCGTTCCGATTCTAGCTACAAATTGGTCAAGAAAAGCTGTAAAATTGGTGGCAATATGTTAAACAGAGAAATCTTCTGACTAATGAGCTCACTTGTGGTTTCCTGATACAGATGTTTCCGTGTCTTTCATAAAAACTGCAATAGAAAATTATTTTACCTTTTCCTCAGAATCAAACATTAAAATAAAAAATATAAATATAAAGACAAAGACACACACATAAAACTCCACCACCAACACCACTGAGAACAATCTAACAGAAGAGTGAGTTAGTTGTTACTGGATCTATGCTGTGAGTATTTTGACCTACAACCTCATGTGCAATTAATTTAGTGTTAAAATGCTCCTAAATTAGTGTGAAGGACAAAGCCCGCCACCGGTTAGAGAACCCCTACAAAGGAAAGCAAGAGGTCTGAGGTGTCTCGTCCCTTTGCTTTGCATCCGAAAGTGGAGGAGTGAAGGGTGGACCGCCACCAGACGGAGTCTACTATGAGTGGAGGAGGATGACAACAATCAGATGGGAGGAAGGAGGGTAGAGGATTCCCCTGGAGACGAAGCCACCCTGTGTAGCCTTCCTACCTGGCTGCTGCTGCTGTCTTGCAGACTTGACTGTAGACGACTTAACCTTGACTGATTTAGTCCCTCCACCCGGAACCCCTGGTTTGCAGCCTCCGAGGTTAGCCTGAGTGGAGGACCAATCCTGGCTCTGGCCTCCACCGAGAGGTAAAGACGAACCCTCAATGCGCTGCTTCATCTCAGACGACAGCAGACGACCCTTGTGCATCCACTCTTGCATCTTGTTCACAGTAACACCGTAGGCTTTGCTGACCGACTGGACCACCTGTGTCCGGACTTCAGCCTGCTCTTGCTTGCCCTCCTGACCCCAATGACTTGCTGCTTCGCCGTTGCTGTCTGTAGAACCTGTGAGGCTGTTGACCGAACCGCTGCTCTCATTCAGCCGTCCACCATGTTCCTCCTCGACTCCAACATTTTGCAGCAGTTCGTCGCTGCTGATGGTGTTGCAAAGCACCTCTGGTTCAGATAGCTCACCTGCTCTTGAGACTTCAGCCTCTTCATGTTTATTTAACTCCAAAGCTTCTTTATCATGATGGACTTCTGCACTTTCCCGTTTGGTTGCCTGAGTACAAGATGAAGGTAGGCCTTGATACCTAATAACTCCATCACTGGCAGACCGGACTAATGTTGGTCTTTTGGTCATTGACAAGCTGGACGTGCTTTTACTGATCAGCTTTGCCTTTGACTCCAGGTTTCCAGTAAGGCAGAGCAGGAGTGATTCAGTGTCAGAAAGCTGCTGGGAACTGTGGTTCCCTCCAGAGGACCAGGAGTCGCTGTCGGTGTTTTTGACAGAGAGCCTGGAGCACAAGCTGTCTCTTGAATGACTACTACAGGAAGAGGTGGCTTGCTGCTCAGCTAAGCCACCACTAATCTGCTGAACATCCAGGCTGATATCATTCATAGCATTGATGAGAAGATAATAGGCCTCTTGCAGCTGTGTTCTGAGCCTGTCTGTTTCCTGGGCGCTATCACCATCATCTCCCTGCCCTTTGTCCTGTATCTCTGCAACCTCCACTCCAGCAACATTTTTTGGTTTAACTGCTTCATAAAAGGGCAGAATTTCATTGTCATAGTAATCGTCATCTTCACTATCTAAGGGGTACCCCAGTGACCCCTCTGTGGTGCACAGAGTTTGCATTTTGACATCACAAATCTGCAAGTCAGTGGGGAAAACTGTCGGGCTCTGAGGGCATCCAGCGGTCTCCCCACTGGGCCTTACACAGTCAGGCTCATAACTTTCAATGCTTCTGATTAAAACGTTTTCCTCAGAGTTTGGAAGCACGCAAGTTTGAGTGTATGCCTCCAGAGCGGGGCGGTCAAAATTCCAGGTGTTGTTTGCGTGAATTGCTACTACAGTCCCTGCCATGTGCCGGGAGTACCCCCGGCTCCTGGTCTCTGCCCCCTCACCATCAGCAACCCAAGCCACGGCTGCTCTAACGACCCCCGTCTGCGCCCGAACGTGCGCTCGGTGTAACGCTTGACCGGAGCTGTCCCCGAACCCGATCGAATCGCCGAAGCCGCATTGCCTCGGCGCAGGAACGAAGCGTTTTATCTGCACATGCGGTCCTTCGAGAGAGATCCCCGCAGATCTGGGCTCCCGGAGCCTCCTGTCCTCCCCTCCTACCGCGTCCCCAGCAAACCGCGCGTCTCTTTGAAGTGGGGCCCCTAGGAGCCGCTCATTAACGTGAACCCTGCCCCCGCTGCTCGGCTCCCGGGGACGTGAGCCAGCCACCTCCGCTGCGCGACTCTCTGGGACTGTTGTGGCCCCCTCTGTTTGCACCAGCGCTCCGTCTACATAATTCTCGTACGCGCTCATTCTCTCTGCCGTGAAGTCCAGCCCTGTGAGCAAAACGACCGGCCGAGGCTCCTCGGGGAAAACTTTTTCTTTACCTTCTCGGCCCCCATTCGCCGCAGCAGCAGATCCGTATCCACCGCTGAGCGTCGCTCCTTTTTTGGACTTCTTCCCCCGTAGTTTTGCTAGTAAAGTCCTCCGCAGAGGATCAGCCATTCCTTTCCTCTGCCCCCCTCCGGCTAATTCCTCCCGGTGTCTCTCAGCACGCTGGCTCCAGAGGGGAAGGACCGAGCGGGTTCTCCTCGGTCAAAGCTCGCCGAGCGGACGGGCTCCTCTCCATTCTCCGCTGTCACCTCTGTTCTGCTGCCCCACTGAAACACTCCGGACTCCGCTTCGCTCAACTGCACCACCTCTCTCTCTCCTGTACTATACACACACGGTACACACTTCTCTTCTCCGGTCCTCCCTCCTCTCTAGCGCCTCTCTCTATATTTGCAGCTCAGATGTTTGAAATATTTTCTTGGTTCAAAGTTCAAAGATTTCAAGCGCAGGTTATTCAAAGAAAATAAGCGTCATTTTAGCCCATTTATCTGATTAATAGGCTCCAGGGTAATAGTTTGCTACATGACTAATTACCAGCCCAAAGAGTCACACCAGACTATTTGTTGTCTGGTGTATTTGTCATATGTGGGGCATGGCTCTTTACCCAGGGCAGAAGGTCTTTGGGAGTGGAATACACCAGATAAGAGTTTTTCTTCCTCTTCTTTAAATCATGTTATTAAAACTAATATCTAACAAATATCAGCAGGAAACAATAAGGAGGATGGTGGTTAACTATCCATTCCACATACCACTCTTACTCTTTTCCCAAAGGATAGGGATTATGTCTGTCACATGGAATTAGCCAAGTCATTGTTTCATCTTCATTACTATGCACACAGAGGACATGTTTCATCCCATTCAGCGACAACGGCAGCACAGAAGCGTGGACTGCTGTAGTTATGGTTTTTCTTCCTCTTCTTTAAATCATGTTATTAAAACTAATATCTATCTATCTATCTATCTATCTATCTATCTATCTATCTATCTATCTATCTATCTATCTATCTATCTATCTATCTATCTATCTATCAAAGTATTCATATCAATGAAAAAGTCAGTGTCATCTAAGTGAAAAGTTCTGACACCATTGTAGCCTCGTTGTGTTTTCATTATGACAGATCACACTGTCATTTTAATGCATTATACATATCCTTCGCATTTTTACTGCATATCTTCTTTGCGGTTTCGGTTTGTTCACATCATCGTGCAAAAGCAAAGTACAAACTTACATCAAACATTAGAAACACCCTTTGGGTACAACTGTAAACAATATCATAATTGAAAAGTGAAATTCATTGGGAGAAACTGATGAATCCTGAAGAAATGTATAAAATTTTCTTGACTGATATTGATAACTAGTTTTTTTGTAATGACCCAACCATTGAATCAAGGACTCCTAGTTTTATGTGGAATGTACTTTCAGGATTCACAAGTATTATTTATTTTTTAAGATGAAGGAGACAACCTCAGACATCTGAAAACTGCACCATTTAAATGTAATATTTGGAATTGACCTAACAGAAGCTTACAAAGCTGTGACATCATCACCCAGTGTCATGATCCGTGTTTTTGTGTATTTATATTAAGGTTTTTCTATGTTCAGTTTCTGTTATGTGGGTCTCTGTTGTCTCTGCGTCTTCCCCATTGATTGTTCCCAGGTGTGTCTCGTTCCCTTGATTACCCTCCCTGTGTATTTAAACCCACCTGTTGTCTTTGTCTCTTGTCGGGTCCTTGTCGTTTGCACGTCGGTAAAACTGTGAAGTCCTGGATAGCGCTAGCTCCTATTTCCAGGCCTGCTATCAGTTGCTACCGGTGTTTAGCTGTGTGCTAGTCTCTCCGCCGTGCTGCCTGTTTTGGACTGTTCTAGGCTTTATTATTATTAAATTAATCATCATTATCAACCTGGGTCTCTGCGTCTATCCTCACCACCACCCACAACCACGTTATGACACCCAGGCTGCCTCAAATTGTTTAAAGACACTCTTTCTCCTAGGAATTTAGAAAAACAATATTGTATGTTATATATATTATTAACAAACAAAAAAAAATTATGAGGAAAAAAATTTATCTAGTTTCAAATTTAACTCACTTCAACATTATAATATGGAACCAATAACATAATTTCTACCCACTGTCTATTTTGTGTGATTAGCCAGATTATTTTTTTATGCAATGAGCTTTCTTATCAAATGATAAAACTGGATTTGACTACAGTGTAAAAAAATATCAGGAGATTTAGAAACAACTAAAATATGTAGACATATGAATTTGTTTATGTAAACCTATTTTTTAGCACAATGAACCTCTGACTTGAAAGTTTAAGTCTAAAAAGCTTTTGTGCAGCAAAGATACTAGTGACCTTTGACCAGCAAAAGCAATGAACTCAGGAAAAAGATCCACTTTGCAGACCCGATTCATTTAAATGGAGGGTAGTTGAGTTGCAAATGTTGCTAATGTCTTTTCTCCCATTTGCGTTTCATGGCTCTTTTACAGTAATCAGTTTAAAAGATTTTAAGCCTCCCAATCAGTATAATTCTGTCAGCAGAACAGATGGACGTTATTCCACTAAACCTCTGCTCATCTTGCTCCCTGAAGCTTGAATTAAAATTGGAGTGGGAGCAGTTGAGTCAGGACTTCAAATTACCACCTTCACTTGTAGCTGCTAATGCATTTCAGCAAACCGCAGTGAGAACAATCTCCATCTCAGGGGGAAATATGTGCTTAGACTCTGCTGAGAGAAGAGAAAAATGTCTGTCTCAGCAGGAAACAATAAGGAGGATGGTGGTTAACTATCCATTCCACATACCACTCTTACTCTTTTCCCAAAGGATAAGGATTATGTGTGTCGCATGGAATTAGCCAAGTCATTGTTTCATCTTCATTACTACGCACACAGAGGACATGTTTCATCCCATTCAGCGACAACGGCAGCACAGAAGCGTGGACTGCTGTAGTTATGGATCACAGGAGTTTTATCTGAAGTAAATCTTGAGTACTCCTCTCCTTTTGTGACCTTGCATCTCTAACCTAACCTATGTACAGTGTGTGTCTGTGCTTGAAGCACCACCCAGGGCTGTAAGACCATGTAAGAAGGTGGAGAACAAAATGGAGCATGTTTCACAGGAACCTTAAACTGTTTGTTTGCTGTTGCCTCTTGTTGGAATGTGCAAGAAGATGAACTGCTGGGAAGCTGCAGTGGGTGTATGAGTGCACATGCGCAGCCTAATCCCTTCCCTGTAAGACACACATATAGTATGGTTAAACACCCACACACACTTGGACTCAATCTGATTTCATCATGAGCCTCTCCACATTTTTCAGGGGGAGAAAACACCCTGTGATTAAGGGGCATTTATAATCAAAGCAGTGTATCGACAGAGCCCTTCACTCCCACTGCTCCACTCCCAGTCAAACACGATAAGCATCTGTTATTGGCCTGCAGGAGCCATGTCGGCCCTGAATCCTTCCCCTGCCTCCCCGACTTTCTGACTAGACCTTGTCTGGGCAGTTATTCACAGGTCAAAACCTGCAGGCTGTCGTTTGTTGTGTTTTTGTGTCTGAAAGAGGGGAAAGGGAAAGCAGGAGGGACGGTGGGGGCGTCAGGGGTAAGAGGACAGATTCAGAGAAAAATATGCCAAACGCCACACGGTGCAGGAATAATTACATTCTGAAGATATCTTTACATCCTTTGTAGAGATACAACTTGCAACAACGTTAAGCACAGTGACCAATATAAAATGTTGAAGTAAAGGATGTGAAAACCAAACAAGACAAAGGAACACTTATTGCTGTTGGCACAGCTCTATCCAGTCTAGAAAGAATATTTATCTTTTCCAAATTTTACTTGTTTAGGCTCACTAAAAGCAGAAAACAGCAGGTATGTATAAATCTGAAAGGTTTGACACCAAACACATTAATCCGGGTTAACCATGGTGTCCATCATGTTCACCAACAAAAATAAGTTTAAGACCTGGAAAATATCAATAAATATAATTTTTTTTTATTGGTATAATGTATGATTTGACACTAAAAACATTAATCTGTGATAAATATTTGAAATTTTAGTGCAACAATACATTTTCCCTTGTGGTCATCTTGAATTTTTCAGTGTCTAACAGTTTTTTTTTAATTAGGAAACAAAAAGGAATATCAGATTAATGTGTGAAAATAAGGCCTTGCAAAAGACTTTGCTGAAATTTTCAACTAATGTGTTGCACTATTAGAATAAACTTTGAGAATATAAGATGTTTCTTAAGGTGATGTCACTAGGAGCTACACTTATTCTTAGGATTCTTTGAGAATATGGACCCAGGTTAGTTTATGGAACATCAGAGAAGGCAGAACAAATAAGAGTATTTACTGAACTGGATGAGAGATACAGAAGTTAATACAAATCAAGATTTCTTTTCTCATAGCAATCCTGACTCAGATCTCTGCTGTGAGAAATCTAATGTGCAATGAAAAGAAATAAAGATACGTTTCTTAGTCTCTTTTATTTCCCTCGTTTTTCTTCCATCATTCACTTGTGTTCTTTGTGCGAGCAGGAGCAGAACATCTGCTTGGCTGGCCCCTTTCAGATGGCGTGGTCAGGCAATGTACGTGGTAGAGAAGAGTGTGTGTGTGTGTGTGTGTGTGTGTGTGTGTGTAGAACAGAGAGCAAGAAAGAAGAAAATAAAAGGAATCAGTGTGCAATTGTGAACATGGTGCACATTTATGTGTCTGTAAGTGCATGTTGGGACTTGGGGCTTTGCAGCTGTTGGGGCTCTCCTCCTGATGGTTGCCCATTGTTCCCCAAGTCTTTCCCAGGTTGTTTATGGGCTCTGTGTTTTTTTTATTTTTTTTATTTCTCAGAGCACACCGCAGCTAAATTTATGCCTGTGGACACAAGCCTTTCTCAGGGTATAAATTAGGCTGGAGGATCCTTGTCAGATTAGCCGTGCCAAAAGCTTGCTGCTCTAAATTCTTGAGAGAGGCATTCTTCTCATTCACCTCTATTTTGCTGCTCGCGAATAATCTAAAGGATCTCCAATTTGGCCTCCTTTCATTTTATCCCCAGAAATGTCTTGTTAAATTATTTTGTAATTTTATTGCAGCTTTTACAATGTTTTTAGAGA